GTGGCTGCCGTCTTGGCACAAGCCAAGAAGGTTACTGGAAAGGTCAGCAGCTGAAGCAGGAGGGACAGGAGGAGGTTAAGTCGCTCCGACTGCCCTCAATGGAACAGGTGTCGCAGGCCACCTGCCAGCCAGTCTACGGCGACCTGCGGACAGACTGGTTTTCCCGATCTACCGCCTGGAAGACTGTGGGTTCCAGCTAAGGTGTTGTCGTCTTCGGACGCATGAAGATTGCTGTGATTTGTAAAAAAACAACTTTATCTATGCATACACCCAAGCACATTTTTACTTTCCATTTTATACCTGTCAGTTTTTGACCTACGCAGTTGCTGCTATTGTTGTTGTTGTTCTTCCTTATGCTGCAGTGTAAGCTGCTACATATCAATAAATCTTAAACATCAACAACCTCCTCCTTTACCTGGTGTTTTGGGCAGTTTAGACTTGAAGGGTTTACCGGCGGGGAGGTTGGAGCGTTTGCCACCATCTAGGAAGGCAAGTGAGCTCATTTCTGCTCGCAAGGGATTGCCCACACATGCGCCTATATGTCTTAATACTTAAACCGCCCGATATATCTAACGGCTCAATCGTCGCAAGCGATGACGTCCACCGTGTGCGTAATGGACTGGGGGCAGCACTGGTATCTTGCACGTGAATTAGGTCATAATAGTAGTAGAATGGATTGTAGGCTACAACACACTTTCTCCTCACTTACCATGTTCCGATGACAAAAAGTATCAAGGGACCCGAAATGGGCTTGGTCAGAGTGGTTGAGAAAACAGAACCTTCCGTTTACACGTGCCACACACAACCTGGTTCCCACAGCATTGTTCGGTGTTTTTTATCTCGCGTTTGTGAGGCTGACACGGAGGCCACATTAAGGATGAGTGCTCGCAAGCCGACCTCATTCCTCACCCCACACACAAACGGTTTTATTGTTCTTAAAGCCGCGTTTTCAAAGGAAACTTGTATTGGTCTGCAATTAATGGCAAAAAGAAGTTAGTTCACAAACAGGGTTATGCGACAAAGTGTAAGCACATAAGAACTGGGATAAGAACTGACATTGTCGACTCCATTTGTCCAATTTGTGAAAAAAAACGTCGAGATTCGAGCCCACGCAGAAAACGGAAGGCTTTAGTAACCCCAACGGTCTGGCTACATCAGCTGTGAGGCCGCACCGAGAGTTTAATCGCACTTGAAGTACTCAAATTCGCCAATTGCACCTGGTAGTCATCTGGTGGATTCTAGGTCGATTCCTTCGCAAATCCTGCCTGAGAATCCAAGACTACTGTATCAGAATTGATGAATTCCATACGTTTCAATAAACTCTGCAGCTCGAATATCACTAAACTCACGATTTTGGCTTCTGAACACATATGCTTTGGACATAAATAAAGACAAGATTTACGTTTGCATTCAGGGTTTCTGATCACACGAAGACCGTCACTTCGATCATGACTCCTCGCGGAGAATGCCTCATGTTCTGAACGTAAAACGACACCCTGCGATACGTGTGGAATTCAGAAACTCGCGGCTCCCTAAGAAATGTCAAAATGATGAAGCAGATAGAAAATTAGAATGGAACTGAGAGCACGAGCTCCGGGCATTGGTTACGAAAAAAAGCGACACGGTCACTGGAACAAGAGCATTATTAATCTGACGTTTCGGGTTCTCCCTCGCACACACCATCAGATACACTCGCACAAAAGAGGCACAAGATGCGCGTTTGCCAGACGACCACACGCCTATTATATTTAGCAGTCTTTCGAAAGGAGCAATAGTCCATTAAAGAAGGTTCCCCTAAGTCAGAAGTCAGGTGAGACCGATTAGGTTGGACAGGTTACGGGATCCAAAGACTTCCTCCAAGAGAGGGAGGTGCAAACATTGAAACAAGAGTTTTATTGTCCTGACGTTTCGGATTCCGTCGGGAATCTTTAATCATAGGTAATGGTATCATAGTCATGAGCAGATGGGGTTGAAACATGCACAGGTTGCACGGTATTCATAATTCATAGTGGTCATCTGTGTGCGTATGATAATTATCCACTTATACAGCCACCTCTTGGGCCTTAATTGACGCGGTACTGGGTTGACACTTCGCGTTCGACTCATTAGTTGCCGTGATTTCCTCGTCCGTGTTGGATGCGGGCTTGGTAATTGCGCGATAGTTGTGCTCGTTGTCGTCCGAGTTGTTGTTGCTGGGCCCGGCCCTTCCCACGTGACTGATTCTCTTGCACAGGCAATGTCTCAGTACGCAATATGGGAACGCCAAGTCGTTGCGCTTGTTGATGGACTAGGAGCCTGAGAACCATGACTCGAGCACCTCGCGCCTCACGCGATTGTCACCTCTCGCGAGGATTTCGGCCTCGTCAAACTTGAAAATACGGCCGGGTCCCGTCGAGT